AAAAAAAAAAAAAAAAAAAAAAAAAAAAAGAAATACTCGTATAAACATGAAACATGAAACGAAATGAGAAAGCGAAGAGATAAATACAAGAAAAAAAAATTGTTAATAATTGTTGATGCAACGATTTAAAAAAATGAGCACCGTACGATGCCTTCCGTGAACGACCGAGCTTGCCTAGTTACCGAAATAACATAAATTCAATAATTCGATCTCGAAAAGAATTCTCTCGTCGAAAGTAACGTTATTCCCGCGATGCTTCCCCTATCTATTGATCATTTGTTTTCTCTATCATGGACAATAAATAGAATGAGTAAATAGTGCCATAAACTAACATAAATACAATAGAGATTCTTCGTATAATTATAATATAAAGAACACTTTAATATCAGTAAAAATGTGTATTCTATTCGTGACAAAGGTGTTCTATGAATTTCATAAGAATGTTTTGTGATTTTTTTTTATACAAAAAGCGCGCGGGAATAATAAAATGTTCGCTTTAAACTATACTCGACGAACACTGGTGGTTATGCTATCGAGCTTTCCATAACTACGTTACATAAGCATCAGAATCGTGCGTGTGTGCGTGTATTGTATGTATGTACACCAAGAAATACTCGGAAAAAATACGGCAGGACAATAATAATACCGTTTCTTTTTAGAGATTAGAGAGCATAAGCATTAATACAATAGTATATATATATATATATAAAAATCGTAAGTGTGGAAAAAAGAATAAAACTAAATGCAAGCCTGCACATATACGCACATGGATACAAAGAATGTGTATGATGCGTATATGTGTATACACGTTATAGCGTGTATGTATATAGATAATACATTCGTAAGTTTACATTTAGTCGCCACAAATAGCGATGCGAATGTACTGTGAATAACAGTGAAACGTAATAATACGATAGATACTAGAGAAAATGTTGGGGAAAAATAATAAAAAAAAACCCGAGGTTCCAGCTGCGTAGTGGATGCAGTGCCTTCTCCGGGTGAAATGATCTCATATTATTGAAGCGAGCGGTTGCAAAACAGTTTAAAATATAATTGTGCTATAATATTTGAATTTTAAGTTATAATGAAATTTTAAAAATTGAAAAAATTATAATTATTTTAATTTCGAATTATTTATTTTCATAATAGTTTATGTTACAATATATCACAAAAACAATAAGTACATTTAATACAAAATAATTATTTAATTTAAAATCAATTTTTACATGATAGTCACTTTTTGGAGAAGGAGTATATCTTATAATTAAATCGCTAATTAATATTAAAAAAATATATTATTCTAAATAAAGCGATCTTCTTTTAAAAGTTTGATCGTTGATAATGGGCATTTAAAATAGAGAAACAATTTTAAAGAAAAAGAAAAAAGAGTTGAAAATATATGTATTTGAATATATGAAGGATG